ACCCACCCTCCTGTCCTGCCCGGAGGAGGAGAACAGCCCTGGGTCCCCTCCGGCAGCGCTCCCGGGCAGGGATGCTCTAGGAGTCCTACTGTAGTGGGGCTGCTCTGGAAGACTCGGTTTGTACAACTCCCAGAGAGGGAGCAGCATCATCCCACAACACCAGGAGAAGGCACAGACATAGCAGGACCCCTCCCCAGGCTGCCACCTCTCCAATGCCCGGGGGAGCTGCTCCAGGGGTCCTGGCTACAGGTACAACCCCTCAATCAGCACCAGCATCCCCTCACAATATGAGAGAGGAGGACCCTCCAAAGCTGCCACCCCCAACAGCCTCCAGGGTGCTCAGGAGCCTGAACAGTCCAAGGATATGCTCAAAGAGATGACAAGCAAGTTTGAGAGTGAATTTTATTGGAAACAAGGACTGGGTTTGAGGGGTACAGACCCTTTCCAAAGTACAGGGGGAGAGGGGCTTCTGCTGCAAGTCAAAATCCTCACCCACCTTAGAGCCAAGCTGTTTCCCCCCCAGGGAATTGCCCTTGCAGAGGGAACAATGCAGGACAGGGGAGTGTTGGAGGTGAAGGGGGACTGGTAAGACCCGTGTCAAATGAAGCAGAGCTAATGGCACACAGTGGTGATGTGTTTGCCTCTTCAGCACAGCCTTGCTTCATCCACAGGGGCTCAAGTCCACCCCAGAGGCATCTCACCCCTCTTTGGAAGGTCAGATGCTCTTTCCCCAAAATACAGGGATCAGGACTTTCTCCAGGAGGAGAAATCAAGAAAAAAAAAACCACATGCAAAAAACCCCACTATTCCCCAAAGCACCAAAAAAGGGTGAGATAAAGGGGAAAAGGGGTTGAAATAAGGAAAGAAGGAAAAACCCAAAAGCTCAACATCAAAACAAAAAATAATCTGAAGTAACCAACTATGAAAAAAAATTACAATTGTACATCTGAGCAGCAAAGCTGTCAAACCAAGCAGGTACAGGTGAGCGCCGGGTGGTTTGCTGAGCAGGATGAGGAGGAGGGAGACGTGGAGAACATCAATCACTTCTCTATTTTCCATCCAGAGGTGGGCTGGGGTGTCAGGGTCGAACCAAAGCTGAAGAGGGTTTGTGCAGCTCTGCCTAGGCTGGTTCTCTCAGGGTTTGTCAGCTCAGGGAAGGGATGACAAGGAGGAAAAGTGCTGCTATGTGACACCCCAGCACAGGGGCATGAAGGACTGGAAACCATCTGCCCTGAAGCAGCTTTCCCAGGAGCAGCTCAGAGGGATAGATGGTATGGAGCACCCTAGTTCCCAGGCAGAGGGTCCCCCAGTGCTGCTTCAAGCTCTGAGCTGCAGGAGGGGAGAGCAATGAATTCAAGGGGACATCATTCTTCACTGGGAGGACCCTGAATGCTGGAAATGCACCCTGAAATCCAGACCTCCAGGGCATAAATTTCAGGAATCAGGTTTTTAAAAGCTTCAGTTAAAAATAGATGCATTTCTTTTTAAAAAAAATAATAATCTTAGGCCAGGGTGTTTCCTAGTGACCCCTTCTCCACCACCCCAAATTCAGCCAGAAAAACACTAGTCCTTCCACCAATTCTGCTGGCCACATAGACATTCACACGTTCATCATTGATTCAAAAATATATAATATATATAGAGAGCACACACATACACACACACACAAATATATATTAGAAAAGAAAAAATCCTTCTGAAAAACTCAATTATTTAAAAAAACCAAAATCCACAGCTGGTGCACTTGTCCTATGATCATGTACAGTAGAAGCCAGAAATCCCTCTTGCTCCCATAGCTCCTCACAGAGCGCTCAGGCTGGGAGCATGGGGAAACACATCAGGTTTTCACAGTGGATTTGTTAGTGGAGAAGGAACTGCTCCTCCCTCCTCCCACACAGAAGGGCTTTAATTTATAGCAAGTTAGATTAAAACTAGGAAACATGTTACAAAGTCCATTATATATAGACAACAAATGTACAACTGTCGCAGCCCCAGGAGAGTCGCTGGGGTTTGGCTCTCGCTGACACCTGCGCAGGCAGCTGGAGGGGTTGGAGGCAGTTTGGGACAGGAGGGGTGCAAGTTCAGCCTCCAAAATGAGTGGGTGTCACAGTGCAAGGTCTTACATCAGCTCCAGGGTGGAAGGGAGATGGAGCAGCATCTTCTCCGGGAGCCAGGGAAGGTGGAGGCAGCCAGGGCTGCGGAAGGCAGTTGATGCCTGGAAGTGGGATGTGCCCCTTGGCCCAGCACTGGGGACCTGCTTGTCTCTCCATCACCTTGTGCCCACGAGGGAAGGGAGTGCTGAATGAAGTCCCGTGGGCAGGTGTGGGGAGAGCATGGGCTGCAGCTCATGTCAAGATGGGCTCATGGAAAAATGCCTTCCCCCACTCTCCCACCCCCACCCCCGTCAAGGGAACAGCAGATCGATTGAGGGAGGGGAATGTCCAATCCGGTGCTGCCTCAAAGGGTCATTAAGATGTCAAGCCAAGCATTCAAATAGCCTCTGGTGTCAACAGTGGCACACCCAAGGAGTCCCACAGATCCCTAAAAAGCTGTGTAGGCTCCTGAGAGCACAGAGCCAGGCCCAAAGGGAAGGTGAGTGAGACCAGACTCCAGAGCAGGGACTTTGGACAGGCAGGGGAGAGGAGTGGGGCAAGCACAGCAGCATTGTTTCTCTCTACCTTCTCCAGGCAGCAAAGAAACAACACCCTGTGCTGTGCACCACGTTGCTGGGGAAGGGAGATGCCCTCTGGCACCCTCTGCCTGCTCAGGCACCATGGGCACAGTCCTCTCCCCCAGAGGGACATGCTGGCATCAGCAGGGAACTCCTGAGCCTTCAGTCTCCGTGGCTTAGCTGGAAAGGTGTTGGCTTCAAAAGGCTCATCCTGGGGGATTTGTTTTACAGGGCAAAGAGAAAAGAGATTGCGAGGCCAGATGGGGCCAGAGATGCCCGTGGGGCTGGGGAAGAGTGATTTGTGCAAACCACCATGAACTCGAGTCCTCGTTCGCTCTGCAGGGAAGCTGGGATGGAGGGGCCTGCATGAAGCTGGGAGGTGTGAGTTAGGAGTCTTCCCCGAGGATCTCTGTCACGAAGGAGGCCATGTCAGTCTCTTTGGTGTCATGCAAGGTGAAAAAAGGGTGTTCCTGCCAACAAGACCAAAGACAATGTCAGCTGACACCCAAGGACACGCAAGCCCAAGTGCAGACCCCGGGGAATGTCAAACAGCCAGAGAGGTGTTGGGGGTGGACACAACCTCCTCCCCATGCTCCTATGGATACCATCCTTTACCTTAAAGATGAACTTTGGCATTTCCAGATTCAACCACAGTGGGACACCCCCATCTTGGCAGTTGCACTACCACCCTTTGAGGTCTAAACTCTTCAAGAGCAGATAGGACAGAGGGAGAAAACACCTCAAAACCCTGACCTTAACACCCATGAAATCAAAACACTCTTCCACCTTAGACACACTACATCCATCCCACTCCATGCCTGAAATATAACATGCACATCCTGTTGTCCC